GTGAGACCGGATCAATTTATAATTGAAATGGTCTAAACTTTAATTACTAAAGAAAAAAAATAGTAAACAGATTATATACTTTGTGCAAAAATTTTTTAAAAAAAAGAATTGAATTAACTAACTGAAAATCTAAAATCAACATAAATTCAATTAGAAGTTGTTCTAAAACTGATATTTATTAGCTGAGTTGAATAATAGTTATCATTTAGTGACGGAGCTTGAGCAAAATATTTGGGGCCAATTTTTTTTTTCTCTGTAACCTACAAATAGAAATATAACATACCTAACATAATTTCACTAACTAATCATAAATTTACCATAACTTATTATAAGTTAAAAGAAAAATAAAAAAAGTGATTGTATGTAACAGATATTCATATATAATGTAAACTATACCATTTATATCCATTATATGCAATGAAATCCCTTATTACTTTATTAATTAAAAAAAAAACTTTATATTTACTCTCCCTTTTCATTTCTCCCATTTTTAATTTTTCCCCGTCCTCTTCTCGAATTGGCATGTAAATTATAATTTCATAAGGATTTTATTGTCATTTTACTCATAATTTAAATTCATTGTTAGATTGGTTTCTTGTCTTGAGTATTTATCTTAGATGTATTTACTCTTTTTAGGTTTTTTTAGTAAATAAAGGAAAGAGGTAATCATTCTTTAACAGAAAAAAATTAATTTTTAACTGATAATTATAAAATAGAGTACTCAAAAAGTAATTTATTTAAATTTTAAACTTTTAATTTACATTATTATGTATTATGTAAGAATAGAATAACATTAAAATTGCCAAAAGCTTGAAAAAAAAGACAGAAGTAAACAAGCATGGTTAAATTTAAGATTTTTTTTCTAATAAGTGTTTTAATTATATTAATTATTTTATAAATAAATAAAATGTATATTAATTTTTTTCAAGAGATTAAGGGGGGTCATGGCGTCATGGCCCCAGCCCTGCTTATCCACCGCCATTGGCTATGTAAACAATAATATTGAATTTGCTATTCAATCAACCGGAACCCTGCTTGTCCAATAAAAAAACAAACCCGGAACTCTGGGTTGGCCGGCCGACTTTTACAAATTTGACTGGATTTGATCAGATTAACCTTCAAAACGGGTTAGAGACTTAGAGTATTCTCCCAACTCATTTTTTCTAGGGTTTTTATAAGGATATATGTTAAAAGAATATTTTTATTATAAATATA